CAGAACACAGAAGGGGCTCTGGGAATGTTTGGTTAACGTCTTCTCTTTATTTTGAAGCCCAGTCTAGGACAAAGGCAGTTGGGAAAGCCACTGGTGAGCATTGCTTAAGGACATCAGGGGGACAGGGCTGCTGGCGGCGTTCCTGCCCGCAGGGGCGGTGCTGTGTGCCCTCCACGGACCGGTGTGGGCAGGTTTGAGGCGGGGGGAGGGGCGGTGCCACTGGGTCAGGATGGGCCAAGGAGGGGAGATGCCCACTGCTCGGTAGCTGCTGCCCCATCAAAGCTGTATCAGGTCCCCGGCCCGAGTTGGGGCGGGGTGCCAGGCCCCAGAAATTTGGGGATTTTCTGCCTGCGCCCATCACGGAGCTAACGGGAGAAAGGGACCACACCTGAAAGCATCTCCCCAGGGCGCAGAGACGAGAAGTCAAAGCGGCCTGAACGACAGAGACCCTGGACGTGGACTGACGTAACGCCGGTGATGGGAAAGGGCGGCCTGGTCACGGGGACACGGACAGAGCGCCACACACTCCCCGTCCCACCAGCCGGCCGCCAGGGCCCCCGGGGTTGCTCCCTCCCCCTAGGCAGGGACCAGCCCAGCCCCCCCAGGAGGAGGTAAGAGTCTCCAGCAGGCGGACCCCCGCCCCGACGAACCAGCCCTCCGCTCCCGTGGCCGCGGGCAGACCCTCCCCGCAGCTCCGCGGCCCCATTTGGCCTCCACGGTTTAAGTGAAATCAAGAAACTGGAGAGGATCCAAAGGAGAGCAAAACCCATGATTAAAGAGAGTGAGAATAGGACCCAAGAGGCAAGTTAAAGAAATTGGGGTTGATTTGCCTAAAACAGTAAAGAGAAATAGGAACTGTGCGCCACTACACGAGGAGGGGCCAGTGTCCAGTTATTTCCAATGTCAAGAGCACAGAAGTGGAGGCACATGGCGTAATTTGCCACAAGAGGGACGAGGTAAATAAGCAGTTTCAGAAAGGTATGCACGTCTTGGAGGCCTTCCCTGCAGTCACTGTGCAGCGGGGCGGCGGCTCTCACTGGGAGGAAGCTGTGGGACACTAGAGGGGAGGCCGTGGCCTGTCTACAGAGCCCCCGCCAGTCCCCGCTCACCTGGCCTCCGTGACCTGGTGCCGGTTTTCAGAGCAGAAACCTGCCAGTGACTGGCCAGGCTGCACAGGTAGAAGCGTCTTCGCGTCCCCCGGGGGTCTCCCCACCCAGGAGCAAGCGTGACCTTGGGATTCCACATGGTCTTTGATGCGTTCAAGATACAGCCAACAGCAGAGGCCTGCCGATTCCTCGGCAGCCAGTAAAACTTGTCTTACGAGATCCAGCAGTGACATTTTAGATCGGATCGCTGCAGACGGGCTCACCGTGCTTGGAATGGACTCAGGGAAGCTCGGGGAACCCCACAGCCCTAGAGTTTGCTTTGAGTGGCCTGGCTGTTCCCAGGCCTGGGTCAGCCGTCCAGCACTATGAGTTCAGTCACCCATTCAACCATCCTGCCTGGAGGAAACTCAGTCAAGATGCAGAATGATGCTGTGGCTGCCTCCTTCCCTGTCCCCGACACCACGTGAAAGCCATGTGCCTTCAGAGAGAATGGTGGGGCGATTGGTCAGTAAGCCAGATGCCGTAGATATACGTAAGGGGAAGTTCAATGGCAGGTGACCCAGATGAGTGTAGGTGGGGATAGGAGAGCACCCACGAGTCCCTCATCCCCAAATGCCATTCTTTCTTTGCGTTTGGACGGCTCCCGAAATACTGATTCTGTGCAGTAATGGAAGCCTCAGAGCCCACGGGGCCACTCTGCCCAGAGGCGGCTCTTGGGGAGCAGGTTTCTGAGGGGGTGAAACCATTGATTGTTGAAGCGAGAAGACCTAGGAAAAGAAAAATGGACCACATGTTACTTTGGGCTGAGAGGGTCACGAGTTTCAATCTCTCCAAGAAAAGGAGCTAAAAAGATTCCCAAGAATCCTAATCAGGGGGCAACTGTGTGTGTTTGTCCTGCAGCAAGTGGGGGCGCACACTCGGACCCCAAGAGCAGCTCTGTGAGCCTGTGTCGGAGGCTCCATCAACAGGTCGGACTGCGGGGGGCAGACGCGGCTGCCTGCCGAACCCCGGCCTCGCGAAATCCGCCTGCATTGTTCATCTGCTCGTCCTCACAGCAGGCCGAACTCCACGTAACTCGGGTAAGAGATAAGTGCCCTGTTCATCGTGGGCGCCCAGGCCCTCACACCAAAATAGCCCACAGGAAATGGCATGGCAAAGGTCAATTCTTCTGGAAAGGAAGGGACAACAAGCCATCTATCTGCAATTTTAATGAGCAGAGCTTGCCCTCTGACCCCGTACCATTACCTAACAATCCGGGATTGAATGCCATGCCGGCCTCCGTTTCCTGTGAACGTGGAGGCCAAGGCCCATCCAGAGGCCTGCCCAGCCATCTGCAGGACCAGAGTGGCCCTCGGCCCAGCTGGCTGTCGCCGACGGGGGTGAAGTCTTCCAGAACCATGCGTCAGCCCCCGCTCCTCGCTTTCCAGAGACAGCGAATCAGACGCTGGAGAAACGAGGCTTGGGGCGAGGCTTTTCTCTCCTGTCCTCTCCCCCGCCCCCCACGGGCTGTTTTGTTTCATTCCATCAATAGCCAAGGGCAGTCTTGGGACATACTTAGCTTTATGGAGAGAACTTTGCAACCAGGGTGGTTTTTTTTTTTTCCTGTTTCTTTTTTTCAAATGGGACTTCTACAGTCAAGAGTAACAGCCAAATATTAAAGAAATAAAAAGAAGCGGGTTATTAGGAGAGGAAAGGTATGAAGTGTCCGCCCAGCACACAGCATGTATCGGGCCCATTATGAAGAACTGAACCAGCCAGAGCAATTCAGGAGGACAGCCGCGGGCCCTGCCCAAACGCACGGCCAGCCCGCTGACCTCAAAGGCAACAACTTTGAATTCTCTTGCACAGTGTTTCCGAAAGTCCTAGGGAACACAATGATCAGAACCACTTGAGTACTTTCTCAGACTCCTTTCCCAGACCTTCCCAAGGGTCTCCAGGGCGAAAGCCAGGGCTTTGGAGGCCTCACACACCCTGCGGTCCTTCATCAATGCTCATCCCCACCTGGGAGGTCTGGAGTTTATCTGCACGTGGTACGTGCTGACCCTGAAGCTTGAAGTCAGGGTTAAAGACACAGGTTAAAGACTATCTGATCTGCGAACAGATCCGGGGCAGTGCTGATATACTCCTGAGCCACGTGACCACGGTGAAGCGACCCAGCTCCGGGCCAGAAGCGTCCTCATCCGTATAGTTCAAGGTTTTAAATGAGCTGCTGCAGAAGATGCACTTTAGCACAATACTCTGATTCTACGAAGAATGTCATAAATAACATCGTAGTAAATGATCAAATGATCATTAAAGAGGTTAAGTACCCAGCTCAGACTGTGCACTAGCCATGGTTCATCAGTTTGTCCCACAGACAGGAAAGCCTTTGAAGGCAAGAGGCATTGTTCACCAGTTTGCCTTCCTGAGTCCCTGACACGGCGTGCGAGCTGCGGATGGAGCGAACGCAGGAGCAAAGTGGGGGCTGTACAGAGCCTGGGAGTTAGAAGTAGAGCTGCCTTTCACCCGGGGCTGGGACCCAGGCCTTGCTTCCCAATGATGTGCTGCGATTCCCTGCCCCTGAGAAGGAAGGGGACCCCGGCACTAGACTGGCTTTTTTTTTTTAAGTCCTGCACTTTATTGAGGAGTTTGACCTGGTTCTTGGGAACCCGGGGGGAAATCTAGGGGTGGAGGGAGACAGTGAGAAAAGTCACACTGAATTTCCTCAAATGTTGGCCACCGCCTCCGATGAGGGGACGTGGGTCGGAAAAAGCGGGAGGTCTCTGGGCAGCTCTGTACAGGTGGCCTTCCTTCCTGGCTCCAAAGTACAGGCACTTGGGTCTTTGAAAACTACTCAGGCTTGGTTCCTCTTAGGAGATTCAGGGTCAAATAATCGGGGTGGGGAGGAGGCATTAGCTCCTTAACCCTTGGGGTCCTAAGGAGCCACTAAGCTGGGAACTACCACGGCCCCACCAGGTGGGCAAGAACCATTCTCGCCATACCTAGCCCTCTTAGTCTGTGGCCGTCTTGGCTGCTGCTCCCAGTGGTTCCCAGAGACGAAATCCTGTTTTAAAAACTGACACTAAGCCAGGTTCTCAGGCAGAAGAGGCGGAGGTCACCCAGAATTTGGGCTTGAAGGCAAAGCCCACCACTCACCTCACTGGTGTTTCCTGACATGCCCCCCCGCCCCGACCCCCTAAAGAGTCTCATTCCAAAGGCGTGGGAGTGCGCCCAGGACCTGTATTTTTAAGAGACAAACCCAGATAATTCTCCAAAACAAAAAAGTTTGGGAAACATGGCCATATACCCTTTTCTGGGTCCACGCCTTGGAAAAGAAACGTGAGTCAATGTATCAAAGTAAAATCTAAAGCAATACATCAAAAGCTTTATGCCCAGACATCGTGTGCCTGCCTGCAAGTCCAAGTTTATTTCTCAGGCACCAGACTTCCATTTGGGGGCTTAGGGGATGGCCCTGGACGCCCGCCGGGCTGGGGACCGCCTTTTCAGACCTGCTACCCGCGTTCCGCGGGTTCTCGGCAAGCCGGGGAGCGAGCAGCCGAGTCATCATTTCCAGCCTCAGACTGGAAAAGCTGGACCGTGCAGCCGCGTGTGCTCTTGGCAGCCGGGCGCCCGGGGCCCCGCGGCCACATCATCCTGGGGCGGGGATGTGTGCACTCCGGGCCACGTCTGTGCCGCCGGGGCGCGCGGCCCGGGAGGCGCCCTGCACCGAGCCGCCCCGGGGGTGGGCGAGCGCCGGATCTGGGCGGGACCCTGGCCGGGACCCTGAGCGGTCTCTAGGACCCGCGGGACGCCGCCGGGGGGCGGGGTGCGGGGGAGACCATAATTTGTTCCGTGGTAATGAGACGGTGACTGTTGGCCGTGGATCCATTTCACAGGCTTGCCCTGTCTCACTAACGATCTTCCTCGTCTCCGGGCCAACTCGGACAGCTTGCTCATTTACGGCAACGGTCAAGGCTGGCTCATGCCAGAGCAGCGCGCGCGCGCACACACGGGGGGAAAACTTTTTTTTGAAAAAAAATGAAAGCCTAGACTAGCTCGTCGGCGGCGCGGGCGCTGTGCGAGGGGTTCGGAGCTGACTGCCCGCAGCACGAAATCCCTCGGGTCGCGACTCCCAGCCCCGCTGGCCGTCCGCGTGGAATGGTGCGCGCTCGCCGCTGGACCCCGAGAGCTGCTGCACCGAAGGCCGGCGACCATGGCAGCGCGCCCTCCGCCTGCGCCCCCCGCCCGCGCCCTCCTGCTCGCCCTGGCCGGGGCCCTGCTGACGCCCGGCGCCGCCCGAGGTAAGTCGAGGAGCCCAGGCAGCTCCCTGCCGGTCCCCTGCTCGACTCTCGCGCCCGCCGCCTGGGGTCGTCCGCTGGCTGCGGACTCACCCGCGGGGGCACCTCTCGCAGCCCTGGGGGGACGCCGGGTGGGCGGGGCTGCCCAGTAACGCGCGCACTGGGGTGCATCAGCTGAGCCCTCGGGCTCCGGCTACCGGCGCTGGGAGGACACTCCCCACCTCCCTTCCAGCACCACCACCGCGACCAGGTGCCAGTTCCCGGGGGAAGGAGGGAGCGCTTGGCTCGGGGCCGGGAAGCCGCCATCGCGTAGCCCAGACGGCTCAGCCTTGGGGCTGCGCGCTCCCCCCACCGCCCTGTCCCCTACTCCTAGGGTGTCCTTTGCCAAGGCGTCTAAGTCTTGACAGTTACACGTGTCGCCAGGGACGATGTGCACCGGGTCATCTTACCCTTAGTGACTCCCCCAGCCCAGGCTCTGGGTCGACCCTCACAAAGTCCCCTCTCCACCCATCCTCGCCACGGACACACTTGGGGGATGCACAGTAACCACGCAGGTGGGCCATTCCCTTCTCTGCAGGTGTGCCTGCCACAATCCACAGAGGCCTCCACTTTTTAAAAATTGACTTTTACTTTCTTTAGTTTCCCTCCCCTCTTCAGTTAATTCCGGGTCGCTCCCCGGTTGTCTGTGGTGGCCAAACTTGAGCAGAATTTTCCTGCCTCTCGCCACTTCGTCAGTTGGATGGCCATAAAAAAAAAAAAAAAAAAAAAAGCTTAAATCAACCTTGTGCAAAGCGACAACTCATTTCGAAGTTAAAATGCGGATATTCTAGCTGTTTGGTAGATCTTGATTTTCCCGAGTTCTAGCCCCTTAAAACCGGGCACCTGTGGGTCCTTCTTTTTGCGTAATGAGTCCTCACCCAGCAGGTGTCTTTTTAACAATTCGGATGCTCCCCGCAGTCGTCGCCGCGGCCTCTCTGCCGCTAGAGGCGCTGTCGCTCTACCGTTGAATGCCCGGCCCTGACCTCTCGCGCTGCGTTCTTGGGGTTCCGCACGCAGGGCTTTCTTCTTCCACCACCGGCCTCAGTCGCGAACCGTTACCACTTTATGGTACATTTTATTCTGCCGTTGCCACTGCTGCCCTCCACCCCCACCGCATCTCCTGTTATGTGGCCGAAACCCAGCTCTCGTTAAAATCCACCCGGCAAGCCAGGCCAATTTGGGAATCAATGATTAAATCAAAGGGTTGCCCGAAGCCATGAAGAAGCGCGGAGGAGGCCAAGAAGCAATCCCGCCGCTGACTGCGCGGTTCAAGGACTCTGACCTGCAACTGGGTATGGTGGCGCTCAAAAGCGGTTTTGAAAGACTTTTGTACCCACCGGTCCTTTTGAATGTTTCTCGAGAAAGAACTTTTTAAAAAGCTGAAGCAGAATCACAAAGTGTGGCTAAGGTGGCCTTTAACTCCACACATGCTCTGTACACATAGACAGAATTCCACTGGGCATGGGTTGTGTGTGTGTGTGTGTGTTTAAGTGGAAAATGTTCACTAATTCAAGCTAATAATGGGAAAATATTCTATGGAGGGGGGCTTTTATTACGTTGTGACTGCAGCTTTGGTGGAGAGAGTTTTTCCTTAGGGTAGATAAAGACTCAGAATAGAAAGCCAGTTGGACCTAAACATTTTGAGGGGGTTTCATGTGCTATCCCAGGATTCATTCCTTCTTTATCCTGGGTTCTCGATAGCAAGCCTTACATCAGTCAGTGCCCAAGCATCATAGCATTGAAGTTGTTTGAAAATCCGAATGTACCATGAAACATTTCTTTCTGTTGGCAAGAGAAAAGGAGGAGTTGCTACTCGCTGGAGGCAGAGTATATCCCAGGGCTTGTCTCCCTGTGTGGTACCCTGAGCCCCAGAGCAGCCGCTTACTTGGCACCCTTCCGTGGCATGGCAGCCCTGGCGGACCCAAGCCGAGCCCTAAACCCCACACCCTCTACTCTCGAGCGCGTTCCTTCCCCAGGATTCCCCAGCTCAGTGATGGCAGCCTCTGCTTCTTCCAGATGCCTCATGCTAACACCTTGAAGGCCATCGCTTTCTCTCCATAAGCCACCCATCTCCAGAATATATTCCTCCTCTTTTTATCTGTTTTTGCAGAAGCCCCTTACCCCCCGTACGGCAGCCTCCTCGTGGGCCTGCTGGTGTCCCTGCCTGTCCCCACGCTGTGTATTCTTCCAGAACCACAGCCAAAGTCATCATTTTCGGTCATGAGTCAGATCATGCAGGTTTCCTGTTGAAACCCCCAGTGGCTTTCTCTGGCTCTCGGGAAAGAAATTCCCAACCTCTGGATAACCTAATCTCCGGTTTTCTCTCTGACCTCCTTTCCTACCTTTCTCGCTCATTCTACCCCAGCCACACTGGCGTCTCTTCTTTCCAACTTTCCAGTATAGTGTTGCCATCATTTTTAACAGCAGCATTCAGTTTTGCATCATGACTGCAAATACTGTGCCCCGTCGAGCTACCCAGTGTTCTATGATTCCATTTCATTCCTCTTGCAACTCTTTGTTTTTCCTTGAGTTAGTTATTGCTTCGGTGTTTAAATGCTTTGCTTTTCTTCCCGTGTACTAATCTCTACTTCCAAATTTCCTGGGGGAAGTATTAAATTCCTTTCAACAGTACCAGACACACTAGGTAATTTATCCATTTTTTTTTCCCTTGGTGTTCTCTGCCAGTTCCAATGTAAACTAGTTACTTTTTAGGCATGCAGTATAGCTGTTGTCTCTGCCCGTATTACCACGATGCTGGAAATTCCTCCTACATCCTTCCTGTACTGGATCGCCTGCTTTGTGAGCACCGTAACTCTCTCTCAGTTTATTCCTTGTTTTTGAGGAGCACATTTTCTAGCAACTTCCCAAAGAAGGGTACAAGGGAGATAACCTATTTTTTAGAACTTGTTACAATGCTTTCTTTCACCTGCAAATAACAGAAAGCCCAACCACAGAAATATTTTAAAGTTTCCTTTTCCTTACCTTTACGTAACGTGCAGTTGTGAAGTAAGCAGTGAAGAGGGTCAGTGATGCTATTAGGGACTTAAGCTCTTTTGTTTGTATCTGCCATACTTACGTGTTGGCTCTCGCCTTTATCCTTGCTGCCTCCTGGTCACATGATGGCTGCTGTACCTCTTGGCATTGTATCTGCATTCCAGGAAGAAACAGGACAGAAGAGGCAAGAGCAGAGCCAACCAAATCTATTTTATCAGAAAAATATGAATATTTCTGGAGGCTTTTGTAGCAGATTTTCTCTTGGCCAAACTGTGACCCAGGACCACTGCCAGCTGCACGGGAAGATAGAAAAGTAAATATTTTTAGCTGCTGCAAATAAAACTGAGTCCTGTGAATAGGAAAGAAGGTTAGAACATGTGTCTGCACGCAAATATGTATTATCTGTTTTACTCTTGATTGCTAGTTTGTTTAGGTATAAAATTCCAAGGCGAAGTCCTATTTCCTCAACATTTTATAAGACCTCCCTTCGTCACCTCTCTGTCCTTTGCTGCTTGAGACCCTGATGGCTGTCCGTCCATCCTTTGAGTGTAGTCTGTTTTTCTTTCCGACAACTCCCGTGATCTTTTCCCCGTAGTATTGCCGCATCTCCTGATGATGTGCTTTAGCTAAGTTCTTGTGAGAAATGGCGCTGGAGACTCTGTAGCCCTTTCAGTGTGAAGACGTCATGCTGCTAAGTTCTAGTATATTTGATTGCACTATTTCTTCAATGATTTCTCCCACACTGTTTTTATCGTGCTGTCCCTGAAACTGCTATAAGCTGGAGGTCCCAACCTCCTGACAACTTCCTCTAATTTTCTTACCTATTTTTCATCTCTTTATATTTTTGTTCTACCTTCTGGGAGAGTCAAATTTCACTTTCCAGCTCTGCTTTTCAAGTTATTTATTTCTGCTACGAGATATTTAATTTCCATGGAGTGTTTCTTCTATGAATGTTCCATTTTTTTTTAAGTGGCTGTTCAGTTTTTAAATAATGGGTGCAAAATTTCTATGAACTCTTGAGTGTAGTTTGTTTTTTAACCATCGTTTGTGCTGACCTCATCCTCACGTTCGCTCTGAGAGCCTCACCCGCTCCCACCTGTGATGGTCTCGGACTTTCTTCAAGGGCCTACGTTTTGGCTCCCTGTTTATATTGAACTGTGAGACCCCCGAAAGCCCCTGGAAAGTCCCGTGTGCTTCAAAGGCTCACACTTGGATGTGAGGACCATCACGCGTCATGGCCTCTGTCATGTTTCTCAGGCCGGTCCCGTCCCCTGGGAGGAGACCTGCAGCCCCCTCTGAGGAGGGCAAGCCTGGGGCCAGGGTCTCAGAGCTGAGTGAGGAGAGCAGGGCTCACGGGGATGTCTCTCCCTTCGGGGTGCTTTCTCTTTTTTAAATTTTTTTTAATTAAATTCGTTGGTTTTCGATGTGGCACCAGACAACCCCTGCCTCGCTCTCAGCTAGGCCTCAGGCCTCGAGGACAGAACCGCCTGCCCCAGGGTCTCCAGCAAAGCCATCTCCTGGTCTGTGGGGGACGGTGGGGCAGTCACCTCACTGCGTGGGCTGTGCGAGGGCCCTGGTGTACCCGCTTGTCCTTGGACGGTCACCAGCCCAGCTGAAGGGACCATCAGAGGGACCCGGGGCCTCCCCTTCCCAGGCCTGTTAGGGGTTCTGCCCACGCCACCTTGGCGGTGGCTTCCCTGTCTCCAGGCAACAGGGCTCCGGCTCTGTCTTCTCTGCTGAGCAGGTAGCCCCTCACCTGTCCTCCTCTGTCTTCCAGAGCGCGGCTGCTTTCTCTGACTTGTCACCGTCACTCTAGTTCTTCATTTGGTGGCGGTGGCGGTGGTATTGCCTGCGGGTGTGCCTCCTGCACCGACAAGCCAGTCATGCCTTTATCCCCGCCCTCCTCATAGAGACGGGGCGTCTTCCCCTCCCTCCTCATTTGGCTCTTTTCCTTCCTTCCTTGTGGAAAC